CCTGCTGAAGCTGAAGTGGGGGCTTAAAAGGAAACTGGAGAGTATTTGTAGCATCTTGTTAAAAATTCTGTTTCTGATTGTTATCAGAGGTTTAGTTGCTTTTGGCTGGGATACACTCACAGGATACCCTCCATGTGCAGCTAGCTTTTGGATTACTTTAGTGTACTTAAAGCTCTTAGTAAAGAGGGAATGGCTCACTGACTTCTGTAACGGTGCTGTTATTGACGTTCTCTGCTGGCAAAACAAACTGAATATGTGCTATAAAAGATGTTGGTAGGAAATTGGGATTGGTAAAACATCAATAAAATGAGCTGCTAGAAGAGGGGAGAAAAATTAGATAGGGAGAAAACACCCTTTGAAGTGGATTTATTTTTCTGTTGCTATTGCTGGAATCAAGAATTCAGGACCCATTTAATGACAGTAGGATGTCAATGATCAACTCCTGACTTGCAAGGAAACATGCATTCTAACAATCAGTTTATTAAAAAAAAAAACAACAAAAAACCAACAACCCACAAACAACAAAACAAATATTTCAACCATTCTGTAAAGTAGTTCAGGATATACTTTTTATGTTGGTGCTTTTCATGTATGTTTAGTGAATCCCAGTAGTGAAACCAAAATCTACAGGTGGTGTGATCCATGAAGCCATAAAACAGTGGTCCATATCCTAGAAGGCTTTCTTCTGAATTCTAATTCATTCAAGACTAAATCAATTGCAGAGTTTATTTGGATTGTCAGAAGTGGAGTTTGCTTTATTTTGCCTGCATTAACAAAGCTTCAAACTCTCTTTAACAAAGCTTTCTCAAAACCCTTAAGGTAATCTAGGTATGTCAGGACTTCTATGTATACTACCAATGATTAGATATTTCATAAGCATCCTGAAGGTAATCTAGGTATGTCAGGACTTCTGATATACTACCAATGATTAGATATTTCATAAGCAAGGGTTTTACTGAAATGGGAGAAAGGATCTTTTTCTGTGAATTCTGGTTTTTGGGACAGCACTCAAAAATTTATATATAAGATTATTTTTCAAGAATGATGTTGATAAAACAAGAAGGCAGAATCTTCAGTTTGTCTCTTCCTGAAATAGTTTCTTCTGAGCTACTTTTCTGCTGTCTGCAGAAAATATAACCTCAATTTCTGTTCTCCTAACACAAAAATTACTATGATTGCGTAATACTCAATTATTAAAATTCAAATGCTTTCCTAAAGAGACTTAAACTTTGAAAGATGAAATATTAGCCAAATAAGTGAATATATCACAATTGTTAGAAAAGCATTTAATCACAAAGGCTAAATTTAGTAGCAAGAAGCTTTGTTTCTGTTTGTGCACATCTTTTCTTATACTGTGAAAACTTATGTCAGGTTATGATGGGGATCTTCCCAGGGAAAATTTAAAAAAACCAACACCTCTCCCTCCCCCAAACTTGTCGTTGCAGGTTAGGGAGCTTGCTTTCTCTACTGTAGACTCGCTATACTTAAGCGTTAAATTTTTCCTTTCTTAAGAGTTTGTCTCTAATAAAATTAGAAACAGGAGCAGTAGTCTGTGTCTTTGTGGAAAGTGCTTGTGGCTGGTATACTTAAAAGTGGTAAGATGGAAGGAGGGTGGGCAGCTGAAAGATTTATGGCTGGGATCTCAACATTTGTTTTTCTAGGGTAGTATGCGCTCATTCTGGTAGAGCTTACCCATACAGTGTTATTTGTAGCTGTCTTTTATATGATGATACAGGCACTGTGCTTTTTTGGTTGTGTAATACTTGTTCACTTCCTCAGTTCGTTGCTTAGGGGACTCAAACCATGTCAGACTAACAGATATCACAGCCATTTTGATTTGACTTCTCTAAATGTGCAATAGATTTACTTCATCTGGTTGTATTTCGTGAGGTGAAGCTTTTACAGTATGTTTCCTGTTTGTAGAGGTCTGTGGGATTCTCCTGGACATTTAAATGCTAAGCCAGCATCTCTTGTCATTCATGGAGTTAAATTTGGTGACAGAACTGGGTTTTAAGAATGAAAATTTTCATAATTTATTTTTAACATGCCTTGTTTTTTCCACTCAGATTCGTTTACATGTTTTAATGGAGGTGAGTGTGTCTACAGAGAACTGTGCAACTGCAGTCGATTTAATGCAACCGGACCACGATGCCAGATAGGTGTGTAAAGAGAGAAAACCAACTGGGTTTCTGGGATTGTACTTGAGTTGCCACAACTACAAGAATGACTGCTTTTTGTCTAAAGGTTCCTTCATGCCCTGGTATTTTTCCCCGCTGTTTTCTGTGGTGATACTTCATAGTGTACCACATACTTCTCAAATACAGACTGAATCCAAAAAACAGTGGTACTTCTGAAGTGACTCTCCTTTTTGTTAGTGTACAATACAGGTGCCGAAAGAGATCATATATGCAGAACATGGGGTCAGTATAATTTTGAAACTTTTGATGGACTCTATTATTATTTCTCTGGGAAATCCACATATGCGCTTGTGAGACACACTGAATTAGATGAACAGAGTTTTTCCATACAGGTAGGGGACTGCACTTCTATGTTCCTTTTAGCTGTTGTTGAACTTGCTAATATTAATTGTATTTGCATTAATATTTAGAGATTAAAAATAACTTGTGACAATAGTATGGGGTTCTAGAATGGAATCTAGTTGTAATTCTAATGTAATATGGACTACCAGTTACTATAGCATAAAATGTAAATAGCTGGAAGGAAGCTGATGTGTGTACTTTCAAAACCTGCTGCTGCTGTGAAAAGCCTGCTCTAAAAAGAGTGCTAAGAGGGCTCAGGATTTTGGGGAATAGTGGGACCAACTACTTGCTCACATGCTGAGGGTGGGATTGGGAGTATTAGTTGTGTAAGGTGGGTTACAAAGAGTTTGATTAAAATCTTGACTTTGATGCTAGTATTTTTATTTGGCAGGTGAATAATGATCCTGAGTGCCATTCTTCTCCTTACTCCTGCAAAAGATCCATTAGTTTATTCTTTTCTGGAGATGAACAGATAAAGATGAGCAGTGAAGTCAGCTATAAAGGATTTGGGTAATTGCAGTCGTGTTTCTGATGTTGCAGTTACACTGGAACTGATATAATGAAATTGATTTGATAAGAGATGTAAACTAGTTCACGTATTTGTTGATAGCTTAAAAAATCCCTATCTAGACCACAGCTATAATAATTACTCCCCATCTATGGAGTAGTGCCTGAGGAAGGTGATAGCTACATGACTGGTACATAGTACTAAGAAGCATAACCATTGACACTGATCCTTTCATTTTTGCTCTTATTTGCAACTTCACCTTTTTTAGTGGAATTACTCTGTATTAGAGGTTTTCAGATGTATGAGGAAGTCATTCAATCAGGAAGTAATTTATTTTTAATAGTGATACTTTCTCATATGTAGTTGTGTTTGATTCTGTCTCATTTGTCAGAGTACAATTACCTTTTATTATTGGAAACTTACGCATCCAGAAGCTAGCTGGGTACTTCCTAGTCAGGCACAAGTATGCCTTTACTCTGGCTTGGGATGGTACATCTGCAGTGTATATCAAAATGGCACCAGAGTACCTGGGCAAAACACATGGACTGTGTGGAAACAATAATGCTATCCTACAGGATGATCTTGAAACCAGTTATGGTGAGTACTTAAAATAGTCCCTCTTGTGTTAATGGATTTTTTCCTTCAAGTGAACTAAATGTTACTTTGCTTAGTTTTTAATTGTAATGCTAACTGAATGTAAGATGGGCAACTTTTGAAATGGAAAATACGATACAGAAATAATTCTGGTAGATTATATTGTTAGTTGAGAGGGCCAATTTCAATACAGATGGGGCTCTGAGGAGGAAGGTACTTAAAAAGCATGACAAAAAGCTGTCTTATGCCATTAGTTACAATGGTATTTGTACTTCAGTTTCCTAGGACTTGAGAGGTAAAACCTACTTTTAAATGTTCACTGCCCTCTTAGAAATTTTTTATAGGAGCCTGTGGAAGTCTGAGATATTGGTATTGGCAATAAATTGATAATTTTAATTAGTAAATCAAATCGATGCGGACTGCCAAATCTTCTTTGATCTGGCACTTCTTTTATGCTAACAGTTTCAGAAGTGACTAGTGATCCTTGGATACCAACTTCAGATAGTTTCAAGAGTCTTGGCTTTCAGTAAATACTGAGTAAAGGCCTGTATAAAAGAAAAAGAACCAGGGGAAAAAAAATCAGATCCCTTGAAAGGTAGCTCAAGTTAGGTGATTAAAAAGTTCTGGAAATCATTGCGTTGGGTTGTTTAACTCTTTGCTCCCCCTGTTTAAAATTATGTTATTTCTGTAGAGTACTACTTCAAAGCTCGGAGTACAATATTATAGTAGGTTTCCTCTGTTGTTTAAGTGTGCCACTCAGTTTTGGAAAGCATCAGCCCTGCACCACTATCAGATCTCACCCCCATTGAGTAGTTTGCTCACTAAATCAAAATTATTAAAATAATACCAGGAGCAATAGTTCATTGCCTTCAGAGACTTTCCTCTACCCTCTCACCTTTCTCAGGATATTTCCGTCGCATAAAGTTGTCATTGTAGCACAAGTCGTCACATTGCATACTAGCTTTATCCAATTAGCTTGGGGAGCAGTAGTAATAAAGACATGGCAAGAGATGCATTCACGGGTAATCTGAGTAGTAATCAATGTCACCACTTGTCTATCATGGATAATATCTTTCTTAGCTAGTTTAAAGCTAGTGTGGGCATTTCTACTTATGTGAAAAGGTCACACCTTTACTTGGTTAATGTGTACAATCATTTTGTACCCTTGCAGTGACCCATGAATGCCTCATCTTTCTTGGGATTTAGACTCTGTTGGGAGTTTCATAGAGAGTAACAGCATAAACCTAACAGTTTATTGCAGCTTTTTTTTCCTTTCTTCCATTCAAGGACTGCAGCAGGCACAGTCCTGCTCCCTAAAGCCCTTTCTTGCCAAATTGCATAATTAGCATCTTGGCTTCTTTCTGCCATTCTAAAGCCTTCCTACTATAGTCCCTTTTAAAAGTATTTTTGTTTCTTAAAAGGACCAGATTGTCTTCAGACTGACAGCTGTTTCATTTAGTTGTAGGGAAGGGTTTGGTGCTCTCTGCTTAATGTGATGTTTTGATTATTGAGATGTTTCCCTGGGAAATCCTACAGAAACATTGTTCTTTGAAGTCACTGTGTGACTCTGTGTGTGTCTCGTTTAGGAAAACTGACAGATGATGTAGCAGAATTCGTAGAGAGCTGGCAGGAAAATCCTCCACAAGGAACACCCAGTTGGGATAAATCTCTTCTCAATGAGCCACCCTGCCTGACACAAAGCCAGGAATCTCTACAGGTTTGTATCAGCACAAGAAGATTACTACAATAGTTGGTGATTCTAATTAGAGTGAGAATTTGACATAACGCTTTGAAGGAGGCTGGAAATACTCTCAGCTCTTCTTTGGAGAGGTGGATTAAAATGGTTGCTGCAGCAGAGCTTCCTTTGTCCCCTCCTCTCCTACCCCACTTTTCTTCTGTATGATTTTATAATTTAATTCTTTTATTTTTTTCCCAAATGTTATATTGTTGGCATAGTAGCCAATAGAAGTTTTTGCATCTGGGGCTAAATGAGTGAAAAGTTGTAAAGTAGGGGTGCATTCTAGAGCTGGTTCCCATTCCTTCCCTTTAGGAAGGACAGAAAGAAGCGGGCAGGCAAAACAGAATGAGAGCACAGTTAATTTGCCAGTGTTTAAAAAATGAATTATTGTTCCTGTTGTCCATCACATTGAAGTAGAGTTTCCTTTCAAGTAACATTTTCAAGATACAGCCCTGAAATACAAGTGCTTTGAAATGAAAGCTGATGCCAGGCCTGTTTTATTTCTGTTGCCTTTTACTGTGTAATTTAACTAAACTGAAGACTATTTCAGTCAACGGGCCTTAGCTGCAACATGGTCTACGCCCTTCTTGGCGAAGGGATACGTTTTACTACCGTTGGTATGACCTTGGATAAAAGATTCGATGTTACATATAGTCTGGTATGGAGAGCAGTATGTTGCTAGCCACTGCTTCTAGATTAGGGGAAAGTGATTCCTAACCACAGACTGAGATGTCTGTTCTGATTTTCTGTAGTATTCTATTCTGCATAGGTTGTTTTTTTTTTTAAAATGTTCTCTTCACAACAGCTCTCTCATTCATTTCAGAGGGTGTATACTCTGTGTAGTATCCTGTTACACCCGCCTTTTGAACAATGTCATGAATATGTGAGTCCTCTTCCTTTTATGGCAAGCTGCACCAATGATCTTTGCATGTAAGTGAATGTTTTTGGGTAATTCCAAAGCTATTATAAAAACCATTGTCTTTCTATCATGAGAATGAATTCTAAATGTTAACAGAACTAATGTGTGACTCTTCCTGCTTATCAGTTTTTATCTAATGTTCTTCTATTCTCTTGCTTTTCTCACTTGTTCTAGTTTTACTGCCAGAAACTTCTGTGGAGTTGATCCTGTTTTCTTTGGTATAAGGATGACCAAAATCAGGCCCAGATATTTTCATAATTTGTTAGCGTACCTTCCCATGAATGTGGCATCTGTTTTGATTCTGAGTGTGCAACATCATCAGTATTTCTAACATTAATTAAGAGTAATAGTGAATAGGTCAGTTTGGCATCTGCAAGCCATACGTTAATCCAATGAAAAGAGGAATTTGAATACTATTTGAATTTATGCTATCATTTCACAATCTGTTATGCTCCTTGTCCAAGCAGTTTTGACTAGTTAAATTAACAGACAGGACAGGACAAGATAATTTTGATTTCTTGTACCATAATTTTGATTTTCTCTTTGTACCATGGTAACTCACTGGTGGAAATCTTACAGTTTCTTCTTGTGAGTTTTCTGAAGGATGCTTTTCCTTTTGTAAAGATCAAGACCTTTATTCATGTCTGTTTATACTGCTGTAGCTCTGCCTTTCACAGCTTTATTCAGGAAACTAGCATCAGGTCTCAATGATGACCTATCTTCAAGGGTGACAGAACGTCTTATCCATTTAAGACTTTTTAAACTAGCCAAACAACACAGTACTTTAGAACACTATTAAAGTAGATTCAAACAGTGTGGTTGTATGCAATGCAGGAGCACTCATGAGGTTATGACTGCATGTTTGAATGTAGGTAGAAAATAATATGTCAATTTTTATTTGTGTAAGGTCAGCAGTTGATAATGCAACTTGGTGTCGAGCGTTAACGGAATATGCCAGAGCATGTGCCCAAGCAGGAAAGCCGCTTCAGGGATGGCGAGCGCACTTTCAGCAGTGTGGTATGTAGATGCTTTCATAATTGGAAATACTGCTTAGTAGTTGTATTTTGAAAAGACTGCTTTTCATACTTTTACTTCTTTGTACTTCCTTCTATTTTGAACACATAGTTCTCAATGAAAGCATAACTAGGGACTCACTTCAAGGCTACATAAATGCAATGGATTTTCTTTTTTTATATGTGTAATTTGTACTGAATGTATTTAAAGCACTAAACTTATTAGAATGCGTTCTAAGAACCTTCTTACTAAAACATCAGAGATTCTTTAAGGTGATAAACCATTTGTTTTTTCATAGAGCTGCTCTTTCAAGTCTTGTCAAAGTCGTCATGGCTTTCTGACATGTAAAATGTGTGTCATGAGTGTTAAAAATAACTTTGAATTACACTTGCATTAAGTCCTCATCTTAAATCACAGAAAGTAAGTTTGAAAGAGATCCTCTAATTTGTCTGCCTGTCTGGAACACAGGACCAAAAATGCTTTGTCAATCATGACAGATTTTCCAAAACTGTTTGTTAATGGATGTTCTATCGCTGTATATGCTGGTCTCAGTAGCTCTGTTGTGAGAAGGCTTCCCTGAGTCTCCCTTGGTGTAATTTCAGATTATTCCTTCTCAATGTACCTTTAACGGACAGGATATGAATATACGTATATTCTGTGTGTGTGTGTGTTATGAAAGCTATTGTTTCATTGTTTTAGGCAACAGGTAACTCAATTGAGCTACCAAAAAGTAAATACCTGAAAGAAACCTTTGCAATCTATTTAAGCCCTGAGGCAGCAGCACAATACCTTTTCATTTTTCTACCTGTCTCTATTTTTCAGTGATTACCTGTGCTGAACCCTTGACCTACAATGAATGTATCAACTGTTGCCCTGTTTCATGTCATCAAGAATCACAGTGCATTGACAGTGAGCTTCCCTGCATTGATGGATGCTACTGTCCAGACGGTAAGTTTTCCTTCTCAAATACATATTATTTGATTCCATATAACTTCCAGATTGTTATCCATCAAATTTACATACCTTTATGGCCTGGCTAGATTAAGGTATTCACAGGAACTCTATAAATGCAGTGCCAGCACAGTGTGGATGAATGGCCTTGTTTCCTCTTAACTGACAAGAACCTTTTCCTCCCTCTAACAAGTGGTTTCAGGTTTCTGCACAGATTCCTATTCTAGCTGTAGAGATCCACAATTTGAGTGGAAAATGGGGTTTGCCCTGTTGACAGGGCAGCCACCTTCCTGATTCTGATGGCTGCTGCCTTTTTTTTTTTTTTTTTGAAGGAGGGGAGTATTCTGGTGGGTTTGGGGAGGGGATGTTTGGTTTTTTTTATTTCTGAAGAATGACTGCAAGGTCAGGTGCTTAGAGATCAAAAACTTCACATGACTAAACTGAGTTTATGTGGCCAGAAACAGGTTTTGATATTGAGATTCTTATACTACTGGATGGTTCTGGCAAGCGAGATATTTACTGATGTGGCCTATAGCAAAACTTTACCCTTATTACCAAAATATATTTTGATATCCAGTTTACCCCTTGTTACTGGCTTCTCTTGGATACATAAATCTGTCTAAACAAGGACAGAGAAAGTTAAGCCATGGATCTTTGAGTCCTGCCGCTTACACGTACCATGATGATTTAAAACGTATGACAAAGATGATTATACTTGTATCTTCTATGGGCCAGTAAAGTCTTTTAGCTTCTGGCTTCCTAATTATGGTATAATTAAGAAAAAAAGGCAAAAAAACATTGCTGTAAAATAAGGACCAAAGAGCGCCTTAAAACAGAGACAAAGTTTTGTAAAAGTGTTAAAAGAAGCTAAGGGTACTCAAAGCAGCATGCTTTGGTGTTTGTGTGTTTGGTTTTGTTTTTTTTTTTTTGTGGGGGTGCTTTCCTCCCCCTCTCCCCCAGTATTAAATACCTGTTACTCTTACTATTGTTAGTGTATCTCAAGCAATTTAGGGACTGTCCATGTCATATAATTTAATTCATATAATTTAAATGCATACTTGTTCCGCAAAAATGACTACCAAATAGTCTATAGTTTTTTTAATCATATATGATCATTTGTGGTGTTCTTGGGTTATACTTGTTAGCGCTCAGCCATTTGTACAGATACTTAGCTTATTTCGTGTTGTTTTATTTATTCTAGGCTTAATTTATGAAAATGAGTTGTGTGTCAAGCCTATGGACTGTCCTTGTGACTACCATGGAAGTTTCTTTGAAATGGGTTCAGTGGTTCATGAGGAATGTAATAACTGGTTAGTATTTTTTCTTTTTATGCTGTGGACTTAATCCTTTCACAGTCATGAAAGAGAACTTCTTTAAAGCCTATTTCAGTTAAAAATTGAATAAAATTGATGATTTCCCACTATTTCTATATATAAAACCTGTTGTTCCATATGTTCTGTAATAAAGGGAAAGATAAAAGAAACTAGAGAGCTATTAATGTGGAAGAAGAGCAAATGACAGATCCTGCAGAGAATACTGCAATATTTAGTACTCTTTTCACCTTGAACCCTGCTTTAAATTAAAAGGAATCTAGAATACAAAATCTTAACAGGAGAATTACTTTGACTTTACTTTGTCTTCTGCTTGTGTTGTCTCACTTGAACACAAAGATCCTGATGTCATTATGACACTAAGCTGCTGTTTTGGGAATTTCTAAGTCAATTTTATACCTTGAAAGAAAAAATCGTAGGAAGAGATAATGCCTTTTATTGGATCAACTTAATAGAAGAAAACGGATGAGCTTGCAGATGTGTAACCTTTTTCCACAACAGTTCTATTTTTTTTTTTTTAAAGTAACAAGATTCAAATTGCTTGTCTTTATTCTCTTCAATGTTAATCATCCTTAACTTTTATAATGGTTATCAAGGAGCTAAAAAGAAAGAAATGTGTTACTGGATGCATGGATGAAACTTCACCTGAACATATCCTCATGACAAGCTCTTGTCACAGCTTCCAGGCATTCCAGGGAATGAGAGCTCTGTTATACCTTACTCAAGACACTTGGTGCTCATTTCATAGAGAAGGAATCCAGGAAAAACAACTGAGGGATGGGCGTACATACTTCACAAAAAAAGAAACCTTTTTTGTTTTTATTTCAGCACCTGCATTGGAGGAAAGTGGATTTGTACAAATCTTACATGTCCAGGTATTTGGAAGTCTTGAATACATAACTTTTTTAGTAGCTGAACTTTTACTTGGGGTAGAATATTACGGTTGGATCTTAATGTGATATTCCACTATATAATTTGTATTTTTATTTCCATCTACATATAAATTAAACTACACACAGAGTAGATTAAATATTCAAGTAGTCTGAATAGCAGGCATCTGCCTTTCAGCTTAGTGCAGTAATGTGTCTCCGTATACATCACTATGTCTCTGTTAGACAGCACTACCTGGTCATTCCATTTAACTAAAGTTCCTCTGCAGTCTTTACTTGACAGACTTATGGCAAGATTACTTTCCTCCTGCCTCAGCACAATATTGCTGGCTAGTATCTAGGTATTGTGCAAATATCAGTTAATTATTTTCACAACATGCCTGTGGAATGAGGGGTGTTATTTTCACTTCACAGACAGGCAGCTAAACTACAGAGATTAAGGTCAAAAGGATTTTGCATGTTAAAGGTACCCATGGCCTCGTGGTTCTTAGAGCTGCCAATAGATTCAAGCACTCATCTGAGTTATCACTTAATGGTGGGAGTGCTTAATGTTTTTGCAAATTAGTTTTTAGAGCCACAAATCAAATACCCAGATTGTAAGGTTCACATGTATTATTTTACCTCCTTCTGGGGGAAGAATTGTTTAGGTGTCCTGGCCTGTCATCAGGTATGAGCTCCATAACAAAAGCAAGGATAAGGTTCAGTTCCTAACTGTCTTCCTAGTACCTGGTTATAATCTGAATACAATTTTCTAAATTATAGTGTGTATTGGAGTGTATGAACTCTACAGCAGTAATAATTGTTGAGAGTACACTGTCTTTTCTACATACTTAAATACATTATTATGTTTGTCAGCTGAGTGCTCGGTTTCAGGAGACATTCATTTCATGACCTTTGATGGGCGCAAATACACTTTCCAAGCTACGTGCCAGTATATTCTAGCAAAAAGCCGTACATCTGGAGCATTTACCATATCCTTGCAAAATGCTCCTTGTGGACAGGTAAGGCTTAGAACCTTCTTGTAATGTTTATATGTTTATATCCTGAAGGTTTTATTAATTGGGGGGGGAAGTATCTTTAAAAAAAAAAAGAGGTGCCTGTAGTGGACTGTATTAAAATTAATCAGTAGCAACAATTTTCCTTAATGATGAAATGGTTGAACAACAAGAACAACAACAGTGCAGCGGAACTCTGTACATAAATTCTCTTGTTTGGTTGCAATAAATAGGAAAGATTATGCAATTATGCTAGCGTTCTGATTCAGTGTTCACTGAGGTCATTCAATAGCATATGATGGTTCATGCAGCAAACCCTGGATGATTTGTTTTCTTGAGCTTTTTGAGTACATCTCTGTGGATTTTCAGGCAGCACAAAACAAGCCTACTGCTTATTGCCTGAAGGAAGAGTGATTTTTTTTTTTTTTTTTTGTGCCTTGAATACAGATTTCTTTCAGCTTATTCTTGCAGCTTGAAATTCACTTTTATTCACATTGATGTGAAAAACTTTGGAGAGCTTTTGGGACATCTCCCTTGGATTTGGGTATATGTATGCATCTGTGTTACTGTTAAGTTGGTATCGTGCACAATTGATTTCAGCCAAACATGCATGTGCATATATATAGCTGATATTAAGGGTGCTCCTACTTTATATTTGAAAGTTTGTGATACTGTACACAGAAGTCACCAAATATTTAATCTAATGTCCAAGACAGAAGAATGTCCATGACCCATTCTCTTTCCTTTCTGTGTGTGGAATTCTGAGCACGTATTATAACGTTGTACATGTGAGACATGGAACACTGATAAGATTTTTCACTACAGCATTTAATTCTTATTACAGTCTTGATAGGCCTTGTAATTTTGAGGAAGCTAAAGCAAGTTAGAATAGATCTTAAATATACATAGGTGGTGTGAGAAGTGTAGTTGACTGAGTTGAGCTGATTTCTGCAGTTGGGCTTTTCTCACTGACTTTGAATACTACATACGCACATAACAATGGAATTTGGGCCACATATGGACCCATATATTGGTCATAATGCTACTGTAGATGCCTACTTGCTAAGCTGCTGGATTTGCTGTAGGAGCAAGATGTTAAACTTTGTATCTTGGCCAGATTTATGTTCTGTCTCCAATGGTATTGTGTGACAATTTTTACCTAGGAGCAACTGTATGGATATTTGAAGTGTATGTAGACTTAAATGTGATTCTTTTTGCTGTATTTCTAGACTGTCCACTATATGTTAGACTCAAATTTTAATTGTTAGCATGATGAACTTCCATAGTATTGCAGTTAGGTACTTCGCATAACATCAGATTTAGCACCATTGCTTTTTACTCCTGTGGAGGTAACTACTTCATTATAGTAGTTCATTATAGTAGTTTTCTTTTGTGTTCTAAATAAATTCATAATTCTGTAAGTCCTTCTACATTAATGACTGCATTCATTCTTCTCTGGAGCTTACTGTTCATGCACTTGAGATTTCCTTGGGAAGAAAAATGGTCATATAAGCTGTCGTGCCACACTTAAAGGCATACTTCAGTAAAGTCTTTTTGTCTTTGTGCACTAAAACCTACTTCTCTGTATGACAGAGAAGACCTTTAACCAGAAGAAGTCATATTAAAGTGGCATTGACAAGTTTATTATAATAGAAATTACTTATTTGCAATCCAGGTAAGAGATGGGAGGACTGAGTGCATGGGGTCCCCTTATCATCTCAGTGATAAAAGTTGAGAGGTAAGAAAAATAGCTTAACTGGATAGAGATCAAATATATTTTCCAGCTGGATGATCTGAAGTAAGTGTCCCACTATCTCTCCTATGGTTCCTAGGAGGAGTGTATCAGGACATCAGGTGAGGTATGTGACGGCATAGAAGTTACTAGTGCTGAAAAAGTGGATTCCTGTGTTGTGAATACAACTGCTTTATTACGCTCTAATAGCCTCTACTTCCTTGAGGTAGAAGAGTTACAGTGGGGGCTGTGAAATGAGATCTTGGTGAAAAAACTTCTAGGTCTTAACCTCTGTTCTAGGCCTTAACCTCTGTGTGCATTGTCCTTTGGGCTGGGAAGAATCTGGTGATCCTGCTAATACTTCCTGTTTATAGGAAGACTGAGACTGTTTCAAAATGCAATGTATCTGATCCTTGCTATAATTCCCCACTTCAAGTGCATATTTTACTTAGCTTATTCTGATTTTAATGAGTTTAGCTGGCTTCATTCTATGCTAACCTTGGGATCCTGAGGAGTTGATTAAGTCAGTGTCATCATCTGGAATAAAAAAAAAGAATAGCTGTGGAACAAAACATAAACACAGGCCTTCCACATAGGCATAAATCTGTTCAGTCAGCATAATATTCTCAGAATTTCACAGAGTCCAAGAACCTTGAGAAAGGTGGTTGTATATTGAAGCTGTGTCCTCTACTATATGGTTGAAGATAAGCAAAAGGGATCCCCAAAGAAACACTGTAGGCAACTTTTTTATCAAATGAAAGTTGAGGCATGATTGACTTTTTGCAGAAGCCAACCTTTCAGCCTGACCTGTTGAAAAGTCCATCAATGGACAATAGAGGTTTGGGGCAAAATCTGCTGTGGTAATATGCAGAATATGTATTGTGGGTCTCATTCCCTTTTGGGTTGCAGAACACTTATGTCTGTGTGAAATAGACAGAAATGTGCCTTTTGGTTTAGTTGTTGTGATGATACTTTTGTTGGGGAAAGTGATAATCAACAGTTGACCTTCTGCAGCACTGTCTGCAAAGAGTCTTCTAGTAATTCTCACATCTTCTTCACCCTGACTTAGGGACTGTGCTTAATGTGTTTTTGTGTCCAAGTGGTTTGTAGAAAGAGGGAAAAACAGGTTCTCTTTGCTTTTATTACATTGGGCTTCATATTTCACCTAGCCTTTAACAAAGCTAGCCTGATCAGTCTCTAATAGGTATAGAATTTTACAGAGGTTTTGAGTGAAGCATTCTGGACACTAACAGCTAGATGGGTGATCAGAGTCTTATGTGGTATGTTCTAGGGCTATGTGCTGCTAATTTAATTACCAGTGTACACGTGGTAGTGAGAACAGTTTGTCTACTATAACGCGAGAATGTGGGGCTTAAGACACTTGAATAGCTGCACTGAACTATCAGCTGGCTGGAACCACTTGGCAGAAGAGCTGCTTTACAGTTCCCTAGGCACCATCCATTATCTTTTTCCCTTTAGAAAAATTAATGACTTGAAATGGGAAGCCAGAAGATTTGTAGTGCAAAATCTCATATTTCTTGATGGTTTGAGATTTTTATGTGCTTGTTAAAAAAACCCCACCAACTTATCAGTCCCATCTCATTCAAGCAGATTAAAAAATGTAGAAAGAAAATACTTGGGGAGATTTTAGCTCTCAGAATCACAAAGAATCCAGTCATCTAGAGCCTTAGAGCTGGTGGTGACATAAACAGTCATCAGGCAACAAGTTACTTCAAACTGATGTGAAATTTTGTTTAAGCACTTTTTGGAAGGAGGATCAGTCAAGTGATCAGCACAGCTTAACCCTATCTGAGTTTCAGGTGACAACCTTACTGGCTTTGTAGTTGATATGATGAGAAGGTCTTCTGAATATAGAATTTTTAAGCATGTAGTGAGAGAAATGGCCATTCCTGTGAAAACACCTGCTGAAAGTTGGCAGGGGCAGTGCTCTGAAAGAAACAGTTCTGGAACAGAGAGTAATTGTCAAGCAGAATTTCTCCTTTAGTTTCAGCATGAAGGAATAATAAAGCTTTTGTCAATATTGTGTAGTAATGTATGTACTGGGGGGGGCGGGGCAGGGTGTGTTATCTTGACTCTGGTCTGCTATGTGTACCACCTGGTATTCTTTTATTTTCAGCTTCTTAAAAGGCTGACAAAATTGTCAATTTATAGCCACTGTTGCTGAATGATACGCACAGCAACCTATTTTCTCAGTAAAGAGGCAAGACAACAAGATAAGCTACAAGAGCATGGCTTTACAATGCAGATGTCTGTCTGCTCTATCAATCCAGGAGAGCTGCCTGAGCTGATGAAATATCTCCAGTTATTTTTATGATTTGCTCTTTTTAATTTTCACTTTATCATTTCAACTGTTGCTGAAAGATCACTGTTGGACTATTATTTACAGACAGGGAAATCCTGAATGTAGCTTTTAATCTTTACACACCATTGTGTGTACTTGGGTGTCCATGGTACTTGAAGGACTGACAGATTATGTGCTCTGTGCTAGTTCAGCATCTGTCAAAGCCCCATGGTAGTGTTCAGACATCCTTGCAGCTCTAATAATTGTCTTCAAGTAGGGCAATGTTTGCCTTGTATTAGGCAAGTCCCAGTGATAGTAAGAGCTGGATAAAAGTGTAAATCCTTGAACTGAACATCCTAATCTGTTTCCACTGCGAATCGTGCTATTCACAGTGTAATTTTGCTGTTAGTGCGACTGTCCAAAGGTAGGGATATTCTAACTAAATCTTGTTCAGCTCCTCTTTCAGCACTGAAGATGCTTAACATTTTACTATTTCGTCGTCAGTCATGCCTTCACTGTAGGTAGTGGGTCTGAAAAGTGCAGCCTCCCACACCTCTGCTGGACACTTCTGGACTGCAAGCTCATGGCCAGATCCAATCAATGAGAAATGTCCTGCAGTAATACTTAGGCTGCTCTTTAACCAAGTGATTTTAGACATGTCTCTGTATGTTTTGGTTTGGAAGACATTATGAGATGTTGAAGATGTATAATCAAGATGAGTAAAATGAACAGTGTGCCAAAAGTGACCGCACAAGAACAATGATAAAAGTCAGAAATACCTTTTAAATGGTTACAAGGTCTTGCAGTGAAGGAGAGGCTGAACAGAAGAAACAGCAGCTGGGTGTTTCCCCCTTTCCTCTGTAGATGGCAAGGAATAGACAATCTCTTAACTTTATCCAGCCACACAAATCCAATGTAAATAAGCTGATGCCTCAGAAGCAGTAGTAAGGAGATATGAGTCTAGCAGGAGCAACAGAAACTTAATTTCTTCCTAGAGCAGAGAAAGCAGAAGCTGGACTGTGATTCTGATGTCTCTTGGCATGTAGCAAGGTGAATTACAGGATGCTGACATGGTAAAGTTCAAGTCATCTCTTGATCCACCTCTGTGATAGAACATTTTTCTTTCTAAAAAATCAAGCAGTGATCAAATGCGGTTTGTTAAGAAAAAATTGGTAATCTTCTGTAATTAATAAGCATTCTTTCCCT